CAAAACACACACACACACCCACACACACACACACCCCCAACAAACAAACCCCAACAAACAAACCCCAACCTCCCTCAATCCTCACTTTTTTTCATTTAATTAAAACTGCCTCTCCCCCCAATGTATAATGCCTTGTTTCGGGCATAAAAACCTAGCTTTGGTAGTCTGTCTGTTGGGTGACAGGAAAATACAGCCTGCTCTTTTTAGCGTGAAGCAAAAGCAATTGCTATTAGCTTTTACTGCTTGCGTTAGTGTCTTTAAGACATGCACCTGTGGTGGAGCTCAAAATCATAGCAAGGATGGGAAAAACAGCTTCTGGTGTTGGCTTTTGCTGGCATCAGCTCTGCTGGAGGAAGACAAGTTTTGTGTTTGCTGTATCAACTGTGGCAGAACCTGGCAAAATTTTGGTTATGTTGGAGTTGAAGTGCAAGCATTTTTTTCTTTGCCTTGTTGTTGAGAATTTGAAATAATCTGTCTTGCCTGGCCGAAGCAGATGTGTTTGATATAAGATGCAAGAGGATGAAGAAATGGGGCTGGAGAACATCCACAGAGCAGTACTGCAGAAACCTTGGGTGTGAGGCTTATGCCAGGATTTGAGTAGAGATCGATGGGAGATGTGTTCGTGCCCAGCGGTGATCAGTGGGTGTGTCCTTTCCCGGATGAAGGCAGAGAAGACGCTGGAATCTAAAGGCAAATTCCTATGACCTGTGGGTTGGGTGGCAGCGATGGCAGCACTTGTTCCCTCCAGGCCAGTCACCACAGTGCATAGTCCAATGTCCACAAAGAGTTGCTAACCTCGTTGTCCTAAAAGTAAACAGTACATTGGGGTGACTTTCAACCATATACAGGTCCTCAGATTTCACCTCTTTGCCATGCTGCTGATTATTAACATTGGCAAGAGCTTTGCTTCCTTATCGTTGTTATTTTATCTTAAATGTTTGATGCGTTTTACTGTGTCTTATCTTTTGCCAACATTTATAAACTCTTCTGTAGCAGCATGATTGGGATATTTTTGTTGTTGCTTTGGTGTAGTGCTACATGTTCTGTGAATGAAATTATATTTTATTTAAGCATATTTGCTATTAACTGAATGCTGGGTTGTTTGTGTTTTTTTTTTTTGTGGAGAAGGTCAAGTGTCTCCAAACGTTTAAACCAAAAAAATTTCCAATTTTTACTCAATTTGATATCAAATAAGGCGGAATAGCATTGCAACAGACTTCATGGGAATCTTACCAGGCTAACATGGTCATTAAGTCAAATATAACCAATGCCAGGTTTGAAATTAGGCTATATGCATGTTTTTTGCATTTTGGTAGTATATTGTTTAAAGGCAGAAGCTGATACAGAGCTAAAAGCTTTTGGTTTCCATGCCCAAAGATAGAGCTGCAGTTGACTTGTTACAACAGTAGCCACAGAATTTCTATTTTATTTTAAATTTAGATGATGCTGTACACCGTTTTGTTATATTCCTCTTGGGAAGCTGTACATCATCACAAGTTATAAGAATTGAGGAGCTTGTCTAATATCCAGCAGACTTTTGAAACACAAAATCATGAGGTACCATTGATTTCTGCATAATTGGTTGAGTTGGTTATCAGGGGTGATCTCCCTCAATACTAATTAGATGTGCTGGACTAAATTAATAGGGCCAGCTCGAGAAGTAGACACCCTAAGCAATTGCCAAGGACACTGAAATTGAGTAAGTAAAGATTTTTTTAGATGTTTCAGTTTAAAAGCTCTCAGATAAAAGTGTGTTCAGGTGTATGCCATGACATGCTTGTTGGGCGGAAGGCTGGCAACCTAAAAACAATTACCAAAATATTTACATCAGGAAGGGGGCAAGATTAGACCTAAATATTGATGCCTTGTGTGATGAATGTGTGTTATTGATTTTATTGTTTCATCTTCAGCTTCTATTGTATTTTTGTTAAAACCTGAAATTCCTTAGGAATACATTTGACATAGTCCATACTGGGGAAGTAAATAACACCTTTCATACGTAGTTTTAAAAAATTCTAAACCCATCTTTGCACAGGATAAAAGAAATTTAGGAATGAGTGTAAGACCTTTTGAATCTTTCAGTATGACCAAGAACCGCTACTTCCCTGTAATAGTTCATTTCTTTTGAATGAGCCTGCATATGCAGAAACTCATAAATGCAACAGATAGTTTTTTAAAAAAATAAATTATGTCTGCTTTGAGGTTTTTGAGAGTGATTTTTCAATGTGCCCCTAACTTGCCCTCCAGCTGCATCTCTACTTGCTACATTTCTTTTCCTGATAGAAGCTTTTTCTTGTTCTCCTGTGCTACACTGTATTGTAGACTTTTTGTACAAATCAGTTGATCCTAAGTCAGATCTGCCTTGGGGGTCTTCTGCCAGGTACAGGTTTTTTAAGGAAAGGATGAATGGACCTGAAAAATCTCAGCAGCATTGTTTTGTGCATTCAAGAAATTAATCTCTGTTGGTTATTGCAAATATGACAATGGGGAATTTGTAACCTAAGCCTTGAAACTGAGATTTTAACAACTGTCTTGGTCTTCAAATGTATGATCTATACATAGTTTCTCTGTTTTGGTGTTTTTTTTTTTTTTTTTTTTTTTTTTTTTTTTTTTTTTTTTTTTTTTTTTTTTTTTTATTTCTGAATTGAAAGAAGTCCACTTTTTTCTTAAAAAAAAATGAAAGGAGTTGGATTTGGTTTTTCTTGCAGAGAAAAGCAAAATAAGTCTAGCCAGATGACTTTTATCCTAGACATCCATTGTCATTTTTTGCATATGAATGCATACTTTCCTTAATGTTTTTAAAGTTAACTGTTGAAATGGCCTATTTTGAGAGTAACTGTGATACACAAACATGTATTTCAGGCTTAAGAGATGAATGATAGACACACATTGGAAAAGAGAGTGGAGGTAAAAAAAGATAAATGTGAACATTAGTCAAAAGAAAGCAAAACACCACAAAACTCCTGTGTAGAGTTTTATTTAGGTAGATGAATAGAATAGCCACACCTTCCACTTTTACAGCATAATGGTAGAAATGAGGTATAACTGCTAGGCAAATTGCAGTCTCCATATAGAATAATGTGTAGAGATTTCAGATACTGTACTTCCTTTAGATTTGGGGAATTCCTTAGGGCTTCTGCATAGTTACTTTCATCTCTCATGATATACCTTGCGATTTCTTTTACAGTATGTCATCAAAAAGTTAAACCTTAAAAATGCTTCCAACCGAGAGAGGAAAGCAGCAGAACAGGAGGCACAGTTGTTATCTCAGTTGAAACACCCCAACATAGTCACCTACAGAGAATCCTGGCAGGGGGAAGATGGCCTGTTATATATTGTTATGGGCTTCTGCGAGGGAGGAGATCTGTACCACAAACTGAAAGAGCAGAAGGGCAGACTTTTGCCTGAGAATCAGGTGGTGGAGTGGTTTGTCCAGATTGCCATGGCACTGCAGGTAAAATAAAGTATAACTTCGTGACCTTTAGATATAAATTTAATATAGCTCTGCATTTAAAAATTACAGTTAGGCTGCAGACTTTGAATTCCAGTTTGGCTGGGTTAGCATCTACACACAGTGGTTATGAGTACATTAAAAATGTTCACAGGTCATTTCAGTTTTTTAGGCAAGAAATTACTATCATATTTTATGTCTATACCTTTGTATCCAAGTAGGCAGTGATAACCTCCAGGGTATTTGCAATTCTAGTCTGAAACACTTTTCTGGTTTGAAAGTTTAGATTAAATTTACAAAACGTAGCTTAAAGAAAAAAGGGAGATCATTTCAGAAGCATTTTATGTTCCGTGGTTTTGCCAATGTTTTTTAATGGTAAATTTAGACTACTTATTAATTATTTCTATTAAGTCTTATCTCTGTTGAAGTATAGTAATTGAAGGTTATCAAACTCTAAATTAGACAATTTTTATAGTAATAAAGACCAGATATAAATGTTAACACTAAGAAACAAGAAATCGGAGAGAAAATTCTATCTTGAAGTTGCCTGTTATAACCAGACATACACAAGTCTAGAGTAGTGCCTGTTCTTGTTTATTATGACAGTTTTTCTCCCCTGTTTATACAAAGCTCATGTTGTATTTCCAACTGAAATTTTATACTTAAAACTAAGAAATGACTCTCAAGAAACGAAAGCAGCAGGAAGTGAATGAAAGTCTGAGTCTTAACTTTGCATTTTTATTTTCCTCTTTTCTGATTGTTTGTTAGAGCCACACAGAGAGATATTGCTAAAGCAGTGCTAAGTTTTAGGTCCATGCCTGTATCAGTCATTCTTAATGTTAAGTCACTAATACTGTCTTCAGCAGGGGCACTGCTGACTTTGATAGTGATGTGTGTGTTCTTTCTATATTTGTATTTTCCCTCTTTGACTTGTGTACAGTGATTTTACGTTTAAGTGTAGAAGAACAAATTAGGAGTTAGCTAACTTTATTTATGTGATTTATTTTTTTTCCCCCTCTCCAGTATTTACATGAAAAGCACATTCTGCACAGAGATCTTAAAACTCAAAATGTTTTTCTGACACGAACAAATATAATCAAAGTGGGTGACCTGGGAATAGCCAGAGTGTTGGAAAACCAGTATGATATGGCCAGAACCCTCATAGGCACACCATACTACATGAGCCCTGAAGTCTTTTCTAACAAACCCTACAACTACAAGGTAGAGTATGTTAATGCAAACGTCCTTTCTGTTTTGTTTGGCAATTTATTTTGTTGTTGGAGAACATTACAGTCTTATCTATTGTTTCTGATTTTTTTATTGCTTTCAACTCTTCTTAATGTCCCCAAAGACCAAACAAAAAATGGGAGAGATTTGCAGAAACCTTTATTTCTGGAACTGTGTCTGGTGCAGTAAGTGGGAATTCATAGCATGTGATAGTTATCACAGCCAAGGTGTTCAGCAGGTGGCCTGTACCTATCACAATATGCCAATGTAAACAAAAATATCAGTCTGTTAGTAAGTTTAGAAAATGCAGCTATATAACAGACAGGAAGCTTTATTCTCAAAAGTATGTATTAGACATAGCAGCATTTAAAAAAAAAAAAAAGTCTAGAAATAAGCAGTGTTGCTGCAAATTTAAAGTAACAAAATAAAGAAAACATGCTCTTGTATACCTGCTCAGCTCTTGCTGCAAACCGCAGGCACCATAAATATGAGTGTCTGCAGTAAGCAAGAGCTGGGGTGAAGCTGTTCTTCCAATGAAAAATCAAGAGGTTTTCATTTGCCGGTTAGAACCAATATTGTACTTAAAAAGAAAACAGACAAAACCCCCTACAAACAGCAACTTTCTACACTTCTTTTCGAAAAGATCTGGTGATGTTTAGTAGTAATTAATTCATTTGATCAAAATTAAGAGTGAGACTAAAGCCAAAAGTTTGCAATGGAATTTGGTCTTAATTAGTTTACTGTCATTAAAGGCCTCTTTGAAGGCAGGTTACTAGTTCTGGAGATAAAACTACAGTTAATAAAAAGTTCCCAAACGTTGGTTTTTTTTTTTTTCCCTTTTTCAGTCTGATGTTTGGGCTTTAGGCTGCTGCGTTTATGAAATGGCTACACTGAAACATGCCTTTAATGCTAAAGATATGAACTCTTTGGTTTATCGAATTATTGAGGGAAAGGTAAAAGCTTTTAAATTTTTTTTTTATCTGTGCTTGGATTTTCTGTCTAGAATTTGAGATTATCTTTTCCGATTAGAAATATTGCATGGAGTTAAAAATATTTTGCATGTTACATGCATCATCATACATGTTGTATGGTGGTACACGATGTAATTATCGGACCCAGGGAGTTATTAATTTGTAGATATTGCTAGAGATTTGTGTCACCCTTTTGTGTAACTACTGTATTGATTAATTTGCACAGTTCTGAGATGATTTACTTTCTTAATTTGCTTCTGGTTTAAACATTGTTCAAAAAATCAAATCACTGTTCATGTGATGCTATTTTCCTGCTAGGGAAGGCTAGTTTATTTAAGTATGTCTTGTTTGGCATATAATGAAGTTAATATGGATTTATTTTATATAATTGTTTAAGCCTATTCACAGAACTTTAACTGTTGATATTATTAACATAAAATTATGAACAGTTCTTAGACAAAACACATAGAATTTCTATATTTTGTTTAATGTTAAGCAATTGAGTAAACTTCAGCATATGAACAATGGGACTACTTTTTATGCAAAGTATGCAACTGAATATAACTGTCATGCATAAATAATCTAGCAGTAGCCCCTACTGACAAATACGTTAAATCATATCAGACTATCCTTTCCTTTTACAGTTGCCACCCATGCCAAAGGATTACAGCCCACAGTTGGTAGAAATAATACGAACTATGCTCAGTAAAAAACCTGAGGAAAGACCTAGTGTGAAAACCATACTACGACAGCCATATATCAAGCATCAAATTTCTTTGTTTTTGGAAGCCACAAAGGCGTAAGATATTGTCATTTGAGTGATTCTGTGTAAAATATTCATGTTACTGTGATCTTGTTTTACAATTTTTCCTGGTTTTGTAGCAGAATAAAATTAGTTCTGTTATGTGCAGTTACAAATCATATGAACATATGAGTTTCTTCAGATCCATTGAGAAATAGGAGGGAATTAGAATTAAAACTGTTTTTTTTCTGCAACTGCAGAATAAGACTCTGCAATGGTTAGGACTGCACAGCTTATTCAGAGAGTTAAAAAAAAAATAAAGTAGCACCAGTATTTTCAAGGAAGTGATAGGAAATATACATGTTTCCAGCTGAGAGTTGTTCCTTTTGATATTCACATATATAATTATTTTTCTTTGTCAGGTTTAGTCAGTTATTTTACTGCTTCCAGGTAAGACTGATCTTGGTGCTATGCAGAACAAGTGTACATTGCTGGCGGAGTCTGAATGGTGGTTTTAGGCTCCTTTTATAGAGATAAAAGTGAATATGTTGTGCACAATCTGTCGAAAAAGCCCAGTATCTTAAACTCTCTGTATGTAAGCTGTTCAGTGGAGTGGATTTTTTTTAATTAGTATAATCTAAAGAAATATCTTATGGTCTTGTTGATGGTGATTAAATGAACAACTTTTATTTTCTTTACAGGAAAGCAGCCAGAAGTCATAAGAAAATGGTGAATTCTAAACCTAAAGATCCTTGTTCTGTGGTCTCAGTAAAGAATGAATCTCATAGCAGGAATGTTACACACCAAAACCACTCATTTGAGCAAGCCAGGAAACACAAAGTTGTGAGATACATATTTTTTCTTTAAAAAACAAAACAAAACCCACTTGCTTTTTCTAGAGAAACAAACTCAGTTTTATAAGAAGTGCCTTGAGCATTTGTGAGGACACAGATCTGATTCCTAGCAATGTATAAAATTCATATTAAGGAAGGAATTGTGGTTAGACAAGAGTGGAAGTAAATAAACAGCTGTGGGTCAGTAAAACTAATTGCAGTGTCTTAACTATAAGATGTTAATTAAACAACATCTGATTTCTTATTTGTGGGTCCCTTTGTAAATTACTCGTGTAGTATTTGAGTTCAGATATTTTTTTCAAATACTTGGTAATCAACTTTAAATATATGTTTTTAACTGGAAAAATATAATTGTAGTTACAACCAAAAATTGTTTTATTATTGGGATTCTTTTTTGTGATGGTTCATCTTGTGCATGTTTTTTATTTTCTGTAATGAATCTGCTGTTCTGGGTTTAAGCTTTCAGTGCTGAAATACTGAATGTATATGATGTAGTACATTTTTAAGCTGTTGGTACTTGTTGGCTCTTCTGTTATGGAAGAGTCAAGGGAGTACAACTTTTCTTTCATGGTCCTGATGAAAAATAGGTGTACTGCCTATGTATAAACCAATGCCTGAAATAGGTCATTTGCAAATACAGTCTGTATCTCTTTAAAAATGTGAGTTGCAACTTTTTCAAGGCTTTTAATCCATAATCAATCATAATTTCATTGCACTTTATGTGCTCTGATATGTTAATGACTTTCCTTAGGTGCTTAGAGTATTCTTTCATATATGCTTAATACCCAAAAGTTAATTAATTTTTTTGTTTTCCTTTAATTCTAGAATGAAGAAGATGGCATCCTCAAATATAAAGCCACCAAATTTTGTCCCTTAGAGAAACCACCTGTTGAGTTGGAAAGAAAACCAAGCAATAATGATTTGAACAACCTGGGAGGCTCCATAGCTACAGTTAGTGAAGTGAATGTTGATATTTTACCATCTGAAAGCATGAAGTATGGGAGTGAGAAGTGTGGCAGTGAGCATATTCCAGAGAATAATAAAGCAAAGCATTTAAATGTTCCAGGGAATTCTAAAATAACATCCAGTAGCCCAGCAATTAAGGAAGATGGACTATGGGAAAGAGCAAAACAAGCTTTTAAAGCTGAAAATGTTGAGTCTAAGCAGTCTTCTGCTGATGCTATAGAAGAAGATGGTGACACTTTGAAACTCCTGCAGCCTCTGTCAAAAGACCAGAAGCAAACTGGCATGGTAATGCATTTATACTTACTTAAAATAGACTTTGAAATAGATTTAACTTATGGCCAGGTCTTAAAATTTGGAGAGCTGCTGCATGTGCTTTTCTGTCAACGTAGGATGCTGCTGATGCAGTTATTGAGATGCTTAGTTAAAAGCCTTGGCTTCAGATTTGCAAGGGCAACATGATGAGGTAGTTTTAGGCTTGCATCTAGACGATGGAAATCCTGTTTTTACAGGGAACAACAATTTTCTTTTTCATCTGAGAAGAGAGATGGTAAGAATAGTTTTGTAACTTTTGTTCTGTGTTCTAAATAGGCCTGGCTAATCTTGAGTTGGTCCTGATTTGGATGGGGGGCTAATAGGTGGTGATTGTCTTTTCATTGCATTTTGGTCTACAGTGAGATTTTCGTACACACTTTTCTGATAAGAATTCATAATCTATTGTAGATCTTGGATTCTACTGAAAAGCTGCTAGCACCGTTTGTTCCTGTTGTCTTTCAAGTAAGTGTCCTTCTTTGAAGGTTTAATAGCTTAAAAATGCTGGTACAGCAGGTATTTTTTCTAACTGTTAATCAAGGAAGAGTTTATTGTGTTTAACTGTGATGTGTTAAGGTGGATGCAGTCCAAATAGTAGAGTGGATGGTGTTGATTTTTTTTAAAAAAGTGTGTATGTGTAAATGGCATGTCTACATTTTTAAAAAATAGTTTTATTTATTAGAATGATGTCTGTCATGGAGATTCAGGAGATGCTCAGGAAAAAACTACTTCCCACTTGCAGCCTCTCAGTTCTGTCAGTGAACCCTCTCTCTCACGGCAGCGACGGCAGAAGAAAAGAGAGCTAGCTGAAGTCTGTTCAGAGAAGGGGCAGGTACTCAAAAAATAATTCTCCTTTTTTACTTTGACTTCTGCATTTTTTACTCTTTAAAAATGGGACCTTTTTTTTTTAAGGGTGGGGGGGTTTTATGCTGTCCTTTTTCATGTGTATCCATATAACTTCATTGGTAACAAAATGCAGAACTTTCAAGATGTCCTTTAGAAGCAGTGTGTAAGACTTTGAAAATCTCAGTAACCCTCACAGGTGTGAGGTGGGTGTGCCAGATGGGCACAAGAAAACACGGAGAACTGTGGGCTTTGCCTTTGCTGTGCTACAGTCTTTCCTATCAACATCCATCAGGGCTTCTCACTGTGACTACAGAATATATAGCAGTGCTTTTCCTGACTGTTGTGGATAAGGCTACTTGTAGTAGGTAGTAGATTACTAGTTCTTTATAATAGACACGTGTAATGACTTCCCTGAGCTTAGGAGTGGAAAGTCTAGGAAGACAATCTTGGCATGCCCATAAGATAGAGCTTCTGTCAGTGCTTCCATGCTCAGCAGAGAGATTTCTCTGGGGAAAGGCATCAGCTATACAAGGATAGAGAAGAAGGTGATTGGTGATTGATACCCAGCTTTTCTCTTGGGTTTTGCATTTTGAGGGTGGGGACAGTTGTTGCAAAGGCACTGACTGCAAAATAGTCTGGGAGGAAAGGGACAAGAGGTGGGGATGGAGAGAAGGGAATTGGATGCAAGCAGAGCTGTGAAGAGGGAGGGATGAAGTTGAGAAATGTAAAGAGGTTACAGTAGGATCCAAAACCTCTGGCATTAAGCCTTACCATGCAAGAATGTCTTCTAGATTGCAGAGTACTTTAACTTTTAATAAAAAAGGTATAAATTCTTGCTCACTTTTCTTTCAAGTTGAGAACAGTTGCTCCTCGGCCTTTACCTTTTCCCTCTGATGTGAACACAAAGACAGCACAGAGGTGTGCAGAGCAGCATGGTGCTGAAGCCTCTGAATCTGTAAATAGCACCAAAACCAGTCAAGTTGCCTTTTCAAAGGTTAGTGCTGAATATTATGTCAGCTTATTTTTTTCTGTTGTTCCTTCTGAGCAGTTTGTTCTCTGAGTGTATGCACAGTGAGTAAGGAAACATATAGTAGCTTCCTACCTAATGGAAGCCATGTCAAGCACCTGGTCAGCGCAGGATGAGAGAAGCTGCCTTGCTGAACCATGGAGGTCAGAAGCTCTGTTTCTAGATTGCGTGTTAGTCTCATTGACCACGACCATTTTGTAATATTTAATTAAGCATTTGCTAGATGATTAGGACTACTCTAAAAGCTCTCTCTTGTCCATGTCAGTTGAAAAGGATTTTTTGCTTTATAGGTGATTTAATAACAAAAGCCATTATGACGATTGCTATCTTATATAAAATTAACTTCTTTTGAAGGAGCGGCCCTTGACAGCACGGGAACGAAGGAGACTAAAACAGTCTCAGGAGGAGATGTTTCCCTCTGGTAATTTTTATGTTTGTATGTTAACATTTTATGTATAAGTAGGCTAATAACTTCTTTGTGAAGAAATTATAACTTTTGGTCTGTTCTTTACTACCATCTTCAGAAAGATGCAGTAAGGGTCTAGTTCTGTGTTAAATAAAAATTTCTGTTAATGTGCCTGTGTTTTTCTGCTTCTTGAGCTATGTTCAATTGTTTATATTGGTGACAACTTGTCTTTGAAATGTATGTGAAGTGCAGAATATACACCTTTCAGATAGAAGCTTCAGTGTTTTCTCTTAGCAGAATACCTAACCTTCCTGTCTTCTGCTAGGTCATAGACTTTTTTATTGCATGAGCATGAAACTAATTCAAAATACATGCAGCTAAGTTGTAAATATTGTAAAAATGTCATCCTTCCAGTGATTCCAGCAAGACGAACTTCAAATAGTGCAGTAGTTGAAGCAAAATCACATATGGAAAATCATGTTAAAGTTGCTCAGTCCTCATCAGATCCCAGTATTTCTCAGGTAAACTGGGGTCATCTGCTTTTGAAATATTTAAATGCAGACACAATTTGGGAATAAAGTAATATTTAAAAAAAAAAATCTATGTGTGGAAGAAACTCTCAGTCAATAGGAGTGCACGGTTCTCTGTAAATACTGCTTTATAAGGCCTGGGGTAGAGTATGGTTCTCTAATCCACTTTTTTTGTTTGGCTAGATCAGTTTAACATTCCAGGCTCACTGTGCATTTTCAGTCCACTTGTCAGAGATGAAAACGAGGGATCTGTTACTGATTGTTACGGGCCGTAAATTGCAGTGTTTAGTTTATTTTGGAAAAAGTTTATCCTGAACTATACTTTATTTACAGATGAACAGTCTGCTTTAAATTTCTATTAACAACACACCACCTTTAGCCTGGTACATCTAATTTTGCTTCAGTGTTTGAACATTTTAATTATTTTAATTTGTAATCATGTTAAGTGCATATTTATGTGCTGGCAATAAGGAATAGTTGCTAGATGAAAAGTGAATAGTTTTTGTTAAAGTTCTCCTCCTTGTCTGATTAGTCTTTTTTAAGGTCTTAAACATATTTGTCAATCTTCTGCAACATCAGGAGAACATCATTAATACCAATAAATGCAGAAGAGTAACAGTGAAGAAATTTTAGTCTGAAATTCAAAGTGTATGCTCTATTTACCTCAGTCCAGCACTTGCATGGAAAGTGTTTTGCATGTTTTACCTCCATGTGTATGCTTATAACTGGTATGTAAATGTAAAAACTTCACCTGCATTCACAAACTGAGATAACGTGAGGTTCGTACGCACTAGTTGTGTGTGCATAAGCTGGTGATGGTTTTGCATGTTATGCTATGCACTGACACAGGACTGTACAGCTATAAGTGTTTAAAATCTCTGTATATTTTCGGGAATGCTGGCAACTTACACAAACTTAATTAAATATTATTTTTAAATGTGTATTAAAGACCAATAGACACACTAAGAATAATGGCTTTATAATATAGTTGGCAAAGAACTGACATATGTGATTTAATCAATTTTAATAGAGGCACTTGGTGAAGCGTTTATAGTGCTTAAAACTGCATGACTGATGTAATGCTAGTCACATAACCATTCCATGAAGTATGTTGATAATGTCCTGCATATTAGCTTGTTTTTAAAACCAAAGGTTACATCTTTTAAATATTACCAAGCTGAGATTGTAAAAATATGCTTGTTGAAAGTCTTTCTTTCATGTAAGAACAGTAGTTCATGCCATATTGATAAATTGCTTTCAGCTATTAGAATTTTTGTCTTATATTCCCTTTTCACTTAGAGAAAGAGAGAAACCCATTCCCTGTCTGATGATGAGTTAAGCTCTTCCACAAGCTCTACAGATAAGTCTGACGGTGATTCCAAGGAGAGTTAAGTATTTTGTTCAATACTGTGCAGGAGTTTTCACTGCTATATTGGACCTTGACTTGGAGTGGGAAAAAAAATGGCAGGAATTGCTTTCACATTTTATGTATCACATAGTTCTTCAATCACTCACCATGTAGAGATAAAGAAAACACGCTCCCATTTAATTGTTGCCTCTCTGTGGCTGTAAACTTCCCGTGCTGAACTTTCTGGGACATTGACCAGTCTTCCAGCATCAAAGGACATACTCTGTCAGCATACATTAAAAGCATGAGTTAAAAGGTGCCAACATGCTTCCTCTCCATTGTGAAAGAGGAGGAATTTATTTCTGATTTTGTTTGTGTAAGCAATTTTTCCAAAAATATTATTTGTTGCATTACCACAGGTAGCAGTAGCCGATAGGATTGTGAATTGTTGCTAGGCAAATGAAGCTTGAGCCTGTGTTAGATGAAGTACTGCTTGTGGTGCCGTTTTATCAATAGCAACATTAGAAGTAATTTAACATGGAATACTTAGCAGGACCTTGCTAAACTTTTATTGTAAGTCCTCTGAATTCAAGGTGGAAGTTAGATCATGAAAGGTGACTGAATTACATCTTATTTCTGCTCTACCAGAAAAAGCAGTGTGAATGAAATGAATGACTTGGTGCAGCTAATGACCTGGACACTGAAAATGGACTCCAAAGAGAACTCTGAGTACTGTGTAACCTCGACTCCAGCCCCAGAGTTTAAACTTCATAGAAAATATCGAGACACTTTGATTTTGCATGGAAAATCACCTGATCAGTCAGAGGAATTAAAATTTGAAGAAATTTCTTCAGGTCTGTTGCTCAGTTATTGCTTTAAATGAATGCTTGTCAACACTAATAACCAAAGAAAGCCTGCTCGTGGGCAACAGAAGATAATCCACTATTATTCCTTCTCAAGGCTCAACAGAGCTTACAGAAATAAACATCTTTCTAAATAATTTTGTGTGCAGAACTGCTCTAATTGTTGTTTACCTGCCAAGGAAAGGAACATGTGATCTATCTGTGTAATTATTAATGAAGAGAGAAATCTGGCCTGCAGCATGATTTTTTTTCTCCATGTTACTTACATTTAAAAACTTCCAAAATGAACAGTTGGAGTTGAGCATTTTGAAATACGATTTTTAAGGCATTCAAACAATTTGATAGCTGTAAAGATTTGTGAATTATGGATGAAGGTGAAATTGTACACAAAGCATTAAACTCAGTGGAGGTTTGTACAAGAGTAGTTCACCCTTATTGCAAAATTTGGGCAAGCTTATTTTTCCTACAGATGCAAGTGCAAGGGATTAATCACTTTTCATACATAAGGTCTCATTTAGACTTCATATGAATTTACTACACAACAAGTGAAAAAGCTGAGGGTTGATTTTTTTGAAGTCTCAGACCTTCTTGTGCTTATTATTTTAAATGATAAAGATTCTACTTGTAACTAGCCTGGTGACAGGCAAAACAATAGGACAGTGCTGGATTTTACTCTGTTAAATTAATTCTGCATTGCTAAAGTAAAACACATTGAAAAAGTGTGTCTCTAAACAGGTATGACAGAATGTTGAAGGTACAAATTTCAGTGGAGTGGGGTTTTTGTCCATTTTTCTCACTCTTCAAGTATTATATAGTGAGATCCTCCAGCTGTTTACTTACTGCCGCTTGGGATGACAGCGCTACTGCATTTCTAAGCTGAAACTTTAATTAGATCGGCTGTTTTATTTTTGGGCGATATATCCTATGAAAGGAGTGTTGGTGATTTCTTAAAAGAGCAAGCTAATGTTCTTGGTTCACTTCCTAATGGAGGCCTCCCCTTCTAAAAGGAGTATCTCTTGTTGGCAGCTTCAGCTGAGGAGCAAAAGATTCAAAGGCTGTTGAGACAGACAGGTGACAGAAATGATGTTACTAGTGTTTTACAGTGATTAAACTTTTTTTACATTTGCTATAAGTACAAATGATTAAAATACTGGGGTGGTGGTGTAGTATTAGAGAATAGTCCTTTTAATTCAAATATTTGTAATGTTGAATACAGGGACCAACTGAAACAAAGTTAGAGGGACCTAATTGCACAAACTGTGTCTACACTGACTTTGTACTGTCCAGTGTCTTAAGAGTCAGCATCCGAGAGCTTCTGATTCACTGTGTTGATTCTAGCTAGCCAGTTCAAACAGTTATTGCATGGTCAGCTAGAATTCTGTGGTAGCCATTCCATATTATTCTTCTACTTAGACCATGAAAATGGACTGTACTGAAAGTAATTATTAATCCATTGACTTTTTTAAATTATATTTTAATAGATATCTTACCAGTTCCTGACAAGATTAGGAGAGTGATTGAAATCCTGAGGTCTGATGTGGTGCAAGGATTGGGAATGAGACTTCTTGAGAAGGCGTACAGCATTATGGAAGAAGACGACGAAGTGAAAAGAGAGGTGAATGTCTTTTGTAATAAAATTGTTTATTTATAAACCTAGATAAATGAGCAGGATCTTTACTGCCCCCTCCCTCCTTTTTAGATACTGATATAGTAATGCAAACCTTCACTCCCAAAAGTATTTATGTAGTCATTGTCAGGCAAGGGCCTAAGTATATTGTCATTTTCATTCTTAGTTTGATTCTGAATGTTAACTATCTTCAACCACAAATTCTTCGGAAAGCATATGAGCTTTATGGTCCCTGTGTTTGTGGAGGATGCAAGGGATGCAAATAGTTTTATTCTGTGGTGTTTCTCCAATAGTAATTTCTTTTGACCCATAATTTTTCACATTGCTTGCCTCATGCCCCTTATGTCCAAAGTGAGAAAGAGCTTTATGTCTATTCCTAATAGAGGTGAGTGAGCAATACCTCCAGCTCATTTGATTCAAAACTTGGGTTACAGTTTTACTGCTTGGGTAGATGTAACCTGTGAAGATCTGATTTATATTTTAAATTCTCAGGTGGAATCTGGAACTCTCTTGCCTTTAGATAGCAAAGACTCTTCTGTTTTTCTTCCCTTCCATCTGTGTTGTCAAACATCACGTGCTGCTTTCAGTTGAGTGCTTTGGTATGGGTTTTTGTTAAGATTTTGGTACTTCCTGCTTTTTTCAACATCAGTAAATTTTGTGGGGTGTGGTGTTTTTTTTGTGTTCCCAATAGCTGCAGTTGCGGGAGCATTTGGGAGACAAGTATGCAAGTTACAGTGTGAAGGCACGCCATCTGAAATTTCTTGAAGAAAATGTGAAGTTCTGACCGGAACCTTTTTCTTAGAGGACTGTTTTATAGCTCATTTGATAGATTGGACCAGCTTACAAGGCACGTTTATCCACTGACCTCCTCTGCTGGAATAAGGAGGTGAACTTGCAAAAAACATTATAGTTTGTAGTATTTTTCATATTAAAATGTGAATCAGGCTTATCACTTTCTCAGAAGAGAAACTGTTTAGTTTTTATTCTCTTGAAACTTTTTAAAGTTGCTTTTTATAGATGCAGAAGGATGGATACCAAGTTTTGTATAAAAAACATGGTTTGAATTTGTCATACCAAAAGGTTTTTGGTATGATCACGTACAAAATATGCTAACAAAATCTATGCCAAGGCTAGGGTATAAAAGCTGTTATATCAAATAGTTGTGAAAATTTAGCTGGGAGAAACAGTTACTAATTTTTGTAGCACGAAAAGCCTTCAGGCTCTGTAAATAGCCGAGTTGAAGTACTAAAGGGGGGTGGCTGTAGTACTTTTAAGCAGAGCCTTTGCTTTCGTGTCTCATTGCTAAGGCAAATCACTAAGGTGGTAGGAAATATTTGGTAACTGGATAAAGTAAGCCTGAAAATGTTTGGAAGGAATACAGACATGGTTACCATGGTCCCAGCTGGAGAAATCCCTTTGCCTTACAAATATTAATTCCTTTTAGGAACTAAAGTGCCTAAGACCAGGGTCACTTAGAGAAATAGGTTTTAACTCTTCCCTTTCTTTGCACTTAGATTCTGTTGCTACACATGCCCAGGCATTGTCATTGTACCATCACTATGGAAAAAGTGTGTGTTCTTTATAAAGGGTAATGAAGTCAAAGGGAATTAAGTTTGTAAAATAAAATTTTAATTTCACAACCTGTTTCTTTCCCTGCCTCTAGCTTAAATATTGTAATCTCTATCACCTGTGAGGGAACTAACATGACAGTCAGTAGTAAAAAAAGTGTAATACCTATGGGTCCTGCTACTAGATGCACAAGTTACAAGATTTCAGGAGCTGCTGTGTTATGCAGGCAAGGCGTTACTTTCTCTACCCAGGAAAATTTATTTTAAACAAAAAATGCCCCTCTGCAATCTCCTGTCCTAGAACAGTTTCCAGTTCTTGTGTGTTTTTTTCAGAACTGTGGGGTATTCACTGTTCTACAGTACTTGTTGCAACCTACAGTACTGACAGCTTGTTTTACACACAGTTGGAAATATTTCAGAAGTCCAGCTGTATATTATCTTTTAGGCTATGGCAACAGCTTAACTATACTTGGTTTGAATCACTGTGTTCTTTTTATGAAAATATTTGAGTAAGGTGTGACCTCCAGTAGCCTTCTAAAGTTAATCCCCCCACCCCTGTCTTCCCCATGACTTCACTGAATAAGAGGCCTTCATGCTCTCTGCCAATCTTGGTGTCCTAATGGTAGATAGAAAATAGTAAGAAAAGACCCAAAAACTAAGCCAAGACGCATCTTCCAGTGAAAATGCATTTAACAAAGTAACAGCATGAAGAACTACATTGTTTTTTTTTTTTAGATTTTAGTATGTCTCTTTGGCTTTCTGTCTGCTGGCTTCTTTTCTTCTGTTCCCGACTCTTGGACAGGTAGCCACTTCAGAGGATTACGGCGGTACATAGGCCACGGAGGGAGTGTTAGCTTAGGGAAAAAGGAATTAAATCAGAACATGTAAATCAAGATCCTAGATAAGTGTTTTGTACAGCTTAACAAAATACAATTCCCTAACTATTCTATCAATTAGTCTTAATATAGTTCATACTATTTCATACTATAAAGAGAGATCTATACACAGTTTACACCGTGTAGTCATGCTTAAGTAAGCGTGACTAAAGGACCCCAGCTCATTGCAAGAATGACAGCACCCATCCTGAAGAGGATCCCCTAGACCACCGAGGTAATGCCAGCATCCAGTCCTTCTAACACCTCTGTGAAACTCTCCCATTATATGGCATCACAGATAAACTGTAGCAAGACTGCTGACTCCAGGGATGTTTAAATCAAGAAAGAAGCAGATGGATGATGATGCCACAGAATTACAGTGGCTTTTCCAAACAGTAGTATGTGTGTGTTAAGTAGTGATTTGTCAAATCATGTTGGATCTGAACACCTGAAAGGTGTGAACCACATTTGGTGTGCCCCAACTGGAACAGGATACCTTGTGCATGAATAAGGAATTCCTCTTTTAATTCCATAATTCTTGTCCTAGCCTCTCTCCACACTTTGCATGGGCCAGCTGCAAAATTTTCATGACAAGCTACTACTCCACAGAAGGCCTCACTATCCGTTGTTACTTTTAAGTCAAGCTGATAGCACCGATAACATTTAATTGAAATGAAAAACTAATTTAAAAGCAGTATTAAATTGCAGAGTTCTCTAAAATCTTACTAGCATTTGAGAACAAACACAATGGTTTGTAAAGCATTTTCTACAGATCAAAGAAAGTACAAATATGTATTAACAATCTGAATTAGATCGTAAACATTTGTCTGTGCTGACAGTCCCTTAATTTAATAATTATTTCAGGTTAAATAGTGCATGTATTTTCTGGTTTGGGAAAAAAAATTTTTACCAAACACGATAAAGCAAATCCAGCCATAACAATGTAGACAGTACATCCAAACTGTTCAGTGATGTATCCATAGATGAAACCAATTATCTAGGAAAAAAAAAAAAGTTTTTTAAAAAATATCAAACTTTAAACAAACAAAAACATTACCCATACCATAATTAAGTTAGGGGTGCAAATTTATGTAAAAAAATATAGATTTTTCAAAAGCACAGCTCATACATCTTTCTAACCTTGTTTTCAAAATTGTAGGCCAAGAATGAAGTAAGTTTTATAAAGCTTTTAGTGACCCAGTTAAGCCAATCAGAAAAAACCCTTGTTTGTAAGATCAGAAAACAAAATAAAGTCCTGTATGTTATCACCCATAGTTCTAGTATACTTACTGCAGAGACAAGAATGATTCCTTGAAAAATATGTTCTGCTAATTTTTGGCCCTTGTAGTCCTGTGGAAAGAGATATTTCTTTGTCAGTTACCCAAAAGACAAACCTACCAGATAAACTCTTCCAGGTTAGAGCCTAGAGTCAGCCTGAGCACAGGTCCTCAGCCTTCTTGTTCAACTTGAAAACCAGACTGGAATTCTTTTTCTCACAGTGTCTGGATTTCAAGTGTAAAAAATTTAAGCTCTTAATTCACATACCACCTCCCCTGCAGTCTTGACCACATAATCTAAAAATAAAAGCAAGCACTGTCCGGGATAAGTAATGCAACATCAAAATATCATTGTGGTTAATACCACTTTGCAAAAGCTGTAACACCACAAAAGAGTATATGTTTGAGAGGGTATGATATGTCACCCGGTCTGCATGACCTTAGAAAACATGGCTCGATAAAAATACTTTGCCTCCTGGCTGTATGCACACAGTCAGAAAAGTATAGAGGGCTGTCCCCTGCACAGCTGTAGGTTACCTTCATTTACAGCACATCAAAGCTCCAATGTTCAGACCAAAAAATCGAAATTCGATACGGAGTAGCAGCTCTCAGCCCCAGTAACAGTTGCTCACACGCAGGTGCCAACACCGCAGTGGAAGGGGCACGCTAAGACCCGCACGCAGCCATGGGGACAAAGGGACGAGGGGCCGGGCCTCCCGCGGCGGCTGCCCTACCATCTGCGTGGGGATGGAGCGGAAGATGTTCAACATGGCGGCGGAGAGCGGCGCCTCACGGTCCTCCTCCTGCTCCTCGCCGTCTCAGACTTCCTCGTCGAGGCCCTGCGGCGGCTGCCGGCTGTCCGCGTCGCCCTGCAAGACGGAAACGGCGGCACAGCTCAGCGAGGACGGGCGCGCAGCCCCGCGCCCACGGCGGTGCAGCGGAACCGGAAGTGGGCCGCTGAGCTGGCCGGAAGCGCCCATTTCGCTCCGCCTCGTCTTCCATCAGCCCGGGGCGGCAGCGTCCCGCTTCAGCCATCGGCTCCGCGCCGCCACCGCCGCTGTCCCGGGCCTCAGCCTGCGCCTTACCTGCGCTGTTACCGCCCTGCGCCGGCAACGGCCGCTGCAACGCGGCGCGGGACGCCGTCTCCCCGGCAACGGCGGCTTCGCGCCTCAGGACCCCTGCGTGAGGGGCCTTCAGCCGGCAGGTGCGAGGCGGCCGCGGAGTTGCCTGTCCAGAATGCCTTGTGTAGGTATGCACTGGAAGTAGGAAGTGACTGCTGTATTTTTTCTCTTGCAGGTTTGCAGGAACTTTATGCTAATAAATAAAATAAAATAAGAAAAAAATGACATTAAGGAAAGGTATGTGTGTGTCTCATTTTTTAAAAATCTCTTGTACTTTTCTGAGTTTCCCAATCATTCTCTGGTTATATTGATAAAATTTTTTCTTCTGAATTTTCAGTGAACATTTCTATCCTTATAGTGGCTGTTGTCATATTTTTGCTAGTTCTTCATCATAACTTCCTAGGCCTCAGTGACTTCTTGAAACGGGAATTATCAGGTATGTTGGCTTTTATTTATTTTTAAATTAATTTTTTTTGTGTTTGCTGGGAAAGCCCATGCTCTGGCCAGACAGAAACCACCATGTTGCTGAAATAATGTGTATGATAG